AGACGGAGACCTCGGCCCCTGGTGTCACGTCTATAAAGGCTCTCAGCTGACCTGGGAACTGTGTGATGTCCCCCAGTGCCGTAAGTGTGTAAAGAGCTGCTATAACTACTGATCAATACACAATGCTAAAAGCCTGAGTCACTGATCCAGTGTTTGGGCTTAGAGAAACAGAATCTGCTCACTTCTGGAAACAATTGTGATTTCACATCTGCTCATGGGCTTTAGATTGCACGTTTTGGGTGAAATCTACCACTTTATGCTGAATCACATGAGCTGGTCATGGCTTATTTGTCTTTCTAAAACTGATGAACTTCTTCTCTTAATTTAGAGCAGATGCCTGAGCAAAATACATCCAAAAACACTTTAAAACAATACTACAGTATAAAACATTTTCTTTTTAGATATACATTTTTTTGTATGTGTTTAGTTTAATCAGTTTTGATTTATTAGTTATTTAAATGTATTATTTATTTGTAGTTTTTATTTATATTTGTTATTTTATTTTATAATTATTCATAATTTTGTATTAATTTATTATTTACTATTAATTAATTTAATAATATAAAATTGTTTATCATTGCGGAATTACATTGATTTGAATCATTTTAATTTATATATATTTTATTGTTATTGTTATTATCATTGTTGTTGCTGTTGTTGTTATTATTATTATTCGTATTATTATTATTATTGTTTACTAATATTATTTATTATTAAATAATGTATTATTAATATTCATTTATTAACAATTCCAGAATTGCATTGATTTGAATCTGGACATCCCCGTATTAGTTTATTATTTATTGATTAAGATCACTTTATTCGGTTTTAAATTGTTATTATTAATCGATTCACTCATATTAATTTATTATTATTCCAGAATTACAATGATTTGAATCTGGACACTCCCTTTTTAATTTATTATTAATTTTATTTATTTATTAAAATCACTTTATTCGGTTTTAAATTATTATTATTAATCGATTCACTAATATTAATTTATTATTATTCCAGAATTACATTGATTTGAATCTAGACACTCCCTTTTTATTTATTATTTATTAATATTTATTTATTAATTATTAATGTATTAATATAGATTATTAACTACAAAATTATACTGATTTGAATCTGAACACTTTTTATTTTATTATTTATTTAATTAATTTAGTAATATAAATTTGATAACAATTCATTTATTGATGTACATTTATGAATGTTTATATGTATGTATATATAAATGATAATATATTTATATATATGTATATATACATTTATAAGCCGTTCCAGAATAAAATTGTCTTGAATCTGGACTTGCCATTTAAGTTTATTATTTATTTTATTATTTATTAATTTATTAATAATAATGTATTAATCCTTTCAGAATTATATTGATTTGAAACTGGACACTGCCCTTTTTTATTTTATTATTTATTTGATTAATTTATTAATACTAATTTATTATGTATGATTAATTAATGCATTCATATTTATGTATCAATATCAATACATTAATAATAAATAATATTAATTTAATATAGATATACAATTTTTACCCATTCGAGAATTGCATTAAATCTGGACCCTCCTTTTTTCTTATTATTTATTTCATTCATCATTTATTCATATTAATTACTTATTAATTTATTTATTCATATTTATTTATTAACCGTTTCACAGTGACATTGATTTGAATCTGGACATTCCTTTTTAGTTTATTATTTATTTTAGTAATTTATTAATATTACTTTGTCAGTTTAATACTTATTGTTAATCAAAGCATTAATATTAATTTTATAATTATTCCTTAATTGCTTTTCCGACATTGCTTTAAACCTGGATCTTTTATTTATTTATTTATTTTTATTAATTTATTAGTATAAATGTATTATTAAATCATTTATAATTATTAATCTATTAACCATTACAGAATATATTATATGGTAAAAATAGACAGTGCTTTGACTCGCTCTGCCTTTGTCACACTGTCAAAAATGTAAGTCTTAAATGCATACACTAAAAGATGTAGACAACATAAATATAACATTTAACCAATGAAGATTTTAAGTCCACCCCGGTGTGTGTGTGTGTGTGTGTGTGTGTGTGTGTGTGTGTTTTTAACCATGTTTGTCTTTCCTCCACAGCGAGGAAACTTCCATCAATCACCACACTTGGACCACGAGCCCCTGCAACCACTAACAATCAAGGTAAGAGAAGGTGAAAAAGAAGTAAATAAGTGTTTTTTACTCATGTAAAAGTGTCTGTGATGTAACGTGTGCTGTATGCATTAAACACAAGAGTTTAAGTATGTTATTTCATCCACTTTCCAAAAATTAAACAAAAATAAGCATTGAAACGTGCATGTGTTGACCTCAAAATTCTAATTATGAGGGGAAAATGCTACTCCGGGGTATATACAGGAATCAGAGAGTGAAATTCAATACTTTATAACACCTATATAAAGACATTTTAACTGGTAACACTGGCGACATTTGAACGT